TTTGTAAGAAATCTTCTGTGGGCATCTGAATTGGCCTACGTGGGAATGTAGCTGGTGAAAAACAATCCATCTTTCCATTCTATTGGAGAATGAGGATGCCTCTGTAGCCAGGTTTGTGGGAAAAATGCTTTGTAAGCTGTACAAACTTTAGGTTTGATCAACTGTTGGAGAATAAACCAGGGCAAAGGTAAAGTGTTGGGGTGTTGTAATCCTGCTGGCATTTGGAGGAGAAAGAAATGTTTTGATTGAGTAGTGATGCAGGCGTTGGCAAGTGGTGGACAGGTGATTTCCATGAAGCAGTAGCTCAAAAATATGAGATTTGTTTAATTAAACTTTGTCTACAGTCTGCTTTAGAGGCAAGTAATTTTTGAAGCTTTTTTATCTGCACATAAACTCTGTTGCAGATGTGATTGTAAGCATTCAGTATAGTTATTCTGGCATCTGAGTTTCGTACTGAAAAAAAATGAGCTTTGCTGTTCAGAGGATGTGACTCTGAAAGGAGTGGTGGCATTTATTGCCCAATCGCTCCTTTACAGCAAAACAAGTGCTCTGATAAAGGGTTTTCTATTCAGTGTTTTGTCTTAAAGGCATTAGGGCAGTACTGCTATGTGATATGCTCCCCGCCCCACAAAGACTATCAAATACCTGTGCTCAGAGGATTCACCATCAAAGCAAACATTACTTCTCGGCCCCCAGGTAACATTGTACTTCTGTTTCAGGAAATTGAAGTGGGTGGTGGCAGGAAAGCCATCATTATTTTCGTACCAGTTCCTCAGCTGAAGTCCTTCCAGAAGATTCAGGTGCGGCTAGTTCGTGAGCTGGAGAAGAAATTTAGTGGAAAACATGTGGTGTTTATTGCTCAGGTAAAACATTTTAGAATCATAAAAATGTTGATTTGAAGGGATCTATGGAGGTGATCTAGTCCAGCCTCATGCATGAGCTGGGATTGCTACCAGCATTAGATCAGGTCAGCCATGGTTTTGTCTGAGTCTTGAAAACATCCAAGATTCCACAGCCTCTCTAGATAACCTGTTCAGTGCTGCATTACCCTTCTGTCTTGCCCATTCAAGGTAACAGTGATACAATGCATATTTTTGTTCCAGCAGGAAATGTTATGAGTGTCCTGTGGATGTTAGGTAAAATGATTTCAGCTGGCGGCTGAGGCTGTGTAAACTTGGTGAGATGTGAAGCTTTTTCACGGGGATAGAACTTTCTTGTTTTGACCTCTCTTACTCCAGATGTTTGAGAAGCAGAGCTTGAAAGTAAATGGGAGCAAATATTAATAGGTTCTTTACTAAACTTACATAATCTAAGCACTCAAAATTCAAGTTAATAGGAAAGGAAGAAAAAAGCTGACTTAAGTTCTAAATCTATGGAGGAGCTAAGGTGTGAAAAGGTGATGGAGGGCTTTCTGGGCAGTACTGAGAGGTGGACAAAGTGGAGAGCTGTCTGCAGAGTGGACAAGCTGTTATTAGTGAAAAATACTTATTAATATAGTTTTAAGAGCCAGAGCACCTTACCCTGAATCTTTGTGTAACCAAGAAGGTTTATTTTAATGAGGTGCCTCTGGCTCACTTTACCTATGTGCTTGAGAATTCCTTGTCAGTTCAGTAATACGCGTTTTAGAGGGGACCATGTGCAGTTCTTCTGCTGTAGGTGAAGTGTTCTTGAGTATGACATGACCCAGTTTGGATTATGGTAACCCCATCATGAATACAGTCATGGAAAAGCTGTGGTGTGATGGTAGAAAATACTTCAGGAGGCTACAGTTGCAAGTAAAACTCAATGCTTTAAAACATCTACCCTTGGAGTAGGGAAGTAGAAAATAAGTTTTACTGATCTTAGGTGCTATAAATTCCTTTGGAGCCTACTTTCGGAACACGTTACATTTTAGCCAGAGTTTAATCTGAATTGTGTAATACATCTCATTATTCAAACTAATGTCACCTAGCTGTCTGTGGGACTGAGCTCACTACACTGGGTTGCACCAGAGGCTCAGTCTCACAGAAATTGTAAAATTCTCTGGAATTCCTGTTCCCAGGGAAGTGTGTCCACATTGCTAATGAGACCCAGTAAACTACTGTGGTTGTATTTATGGGAAGAGGGGATGAAGTACAAAACTTTTATTTCAGTGCACTGAATACAAGATTAGTAATTGCAAAATAAAGAAATACAGCACTTCAGCTTCTGCAAGTAACCTGAGGTTCTAATGATGATGTAGCTTTGAGTATCCTGAACTCTCCCTTTTTGATTTTTTCATGCATTTTCTGGCTGGGGGGAGAAGGTATTTGTGTTGTTGATGTTTTTGAGTATATTGCAACCACTAGATACTGAGAAATCCCTTTGTTGTTGTTCTATTTTCCTTAACAGAGAAGGATTCTGCCTAAGCCAACAAGAAAAAGCCGCACAAAAAACAAGCAAAAGCGTCCCAGGAGGTTAGTAAATAATACTGATTTAGTATGACAGCTTTCTTTTGTAACTGGTAGTTTAGTCAAATAATGGTTAGTTGAGTTTTTGAGAAGTAATTGAAGTGTTTAAGTGGTCTTGTCCTTTCTCCTACTGCTTGAAATAGTATCTGCCGTTTGACTGCCAAAGTGTGCAGTAGAAAGCTCCTCTTTGGGTACTGTGTTGCATTTCTTAGCACTCTATCTGTATTTCCAGCTACAGCTGTAGCTGATTTTTAGCCAGCAATGCTGACTTAAGAAACCCCAATTTGCTGTCTGTTATCACAGTGTGCTGACAAGAATTATTTTTTTCTAAGTTGTAGGAAGAGCCACTTCCACTTCACATGTTAAACTTGTACAGAAGTCAAGGCTGGCACACTGAAGGGGATGCAAAGAGGGAGAGAGTGGCTGAGGAGGGGTATAGGTATGAGTAGTAGTCCCTCTGGGTATGAATTTATTAGCAATAGTACAGTCATTTGTGTTAAATGGCCTCCCTTGCTCTTATCTAGTCTCTTGATTGCTAGACATGCAACACTGCTATGTCTCTCTGGATGTCAGTGCCTCATTTATGCTGTTCTACATCTTGCTGTGTCATTATGTAGTCTGTCTTAAAAGTTTATCCTCTTTATGAGATGTGGCATGTCCTGCAACTTCTCCCAGCCCCAGTATTATACCTGTCATATGTGTTACTGTGTTTTGCCATCTTTAAGCATAGATTTTAAAACTACAATTTCATAGTACTCATCTGCAGTCCTGCCTTTGGAGGACTCTACCTGTGTTCTGTTAAAACTAGTATTGCACGGTGGCTGGAGAAGTTGGCATCTGTGTCTGTGATTAGCATCCTACCAGTTTCTGCACGAGGGAAGGCAAGTGTGCAGGACTGTCCCTGTCTGGACCTGAGAGAGGTCAGACTGGTAGTGTAAAACTGCTGTACGCATTGCAAAGCATAGAAATGTGATTGATGTTGGTCTCCCTTGGCTATCCCAATATTCACAGGTCTCAAGTGCTGCTGCAGACACAGGTCTTAGTTACTAGTGGTACTGCCTTGAAACTGGAGATGCTGGAAATCTTATTAGTCCTTTAGACTCATGCAAAATAGCTTGGGCTAATTTTTCTCACTTTGGCTCGCTTCTGGACAGTTCAAGAACACACATGTAGACATCAGTCTTCAAAGTGTGGACTAAACTTACTAGCTAGTCTTTTCCTATAATACACTGGAGTTCTAAGCCGCTTGGCCTTAGGCAGATGAAGAAACCAGTGTTTTCAAAACTGAGTCTGCTATGAATGTATTCTGTGTAGCTGAAGATATTCGCACACTCTTCCAGTAAGTGTCTCTGGCAGAATTGCAGGTGGGACAGTTTGACTTCAATTTAAATAAAATATTCCTTAAATAGGTAGAAATAGAAGAATGTTTCAGGGCTGTTACAAAGCAATGTGTGATCTAAAAGGTCAGAAACCTGGCTACTTTTTCCCCTTGTCACTAAGTTCCTGCACTCACTGTAGAATTTGGCTTTTATTTTTGCATAACCTGTGATAGTGTGGTATTGTCACACTGTGGCATTAAGGAGAAAAATGCTACTGAATTTTCAGCTAAAGCATGCTTGCAAAAGGCTTGACAAACCAAGGTTTTCAAGAGGATGTGTTTTAATGATACAAATGTGGCATTTCAGCCGTACGCTTACTGCAGTGCACGATGCTATCCTTGAAGACCTGGTCTTCCCAAGTGAAATTGTGGGCAAGAGAATCCGCGTAAAACTGGACGGCAGCAGGCTTATAAAAGTCCATCTGGACAAAGCACAGCAGAACAATGTTGAACACAAGGTAAATGTAAAAACTTACTTTCTCATGCAGGTCAGGATGGCATTCTGACATCACTAAGAGACTGCTTAGTGATACAGCAAAAGAGTCCCTTTTGGCTTTTGGCAGTAGAGATGCTTCTGTTTGTATCTCGAATAGAGTGCTGAAGATGAGGCAAGATAGTTTTAAACTAAAGCTCTAGTTCTACTTGCTAAAACCCCTGGATTGTAAAGTAGCTATATTGGTTCCTTTCATGGGAATAGACTGTGTTTTGTTGGGGGGGTTGTATGTTTAGGAGTCAGTTAGGTTGTTTGTTTTATTTAGTTGGTTTTATTGTTTTTCAAGTGAAGCACTTAGTTTTGACCTTAAACAGATGTGCTCAATACAACCTGCACTTTGCCTGGATTTTTTCTAGAGGGGTTTGTTTGGGCCTGCTCAGCTCTCAAGGTCTCCCATGGTTGCAATTCAAAGCGTTTCCAAATACTCTTCAGAAAATGTATCTTCTGTGTAAACACTCAGCCGTCTTCATCTAGAAGAAAATTAGCCTCAGAGCTCATGTCAGAGTGAAGTGGCAAATAGTAGAGTATATTAAATATGTTAACTTAGAGTTACTTTTTTACACAGCATGTATAAACAAGATTATTTTTCTTCACAGGTGGAAACATTTTCTGGTGTCTACAAGAAGCTCACAGGCAAAGATGTGGTGTTTGAATTTCCAGAATTCCAGCTGTAAAGTGCAAAAAATGGCTGAATAAACAACTGTTCATATAACAGAGTAATTTCATTTAAATTTTGAATTCCATAAACGCAGATGGGGATTAACTGGTTCATAGGACTTCTCTACTGTCTGGAGAGTGACACTTGTATATCCAATATTAAGTCCACTGTCTGGAGAGTGACACTTGTATATCCAATATTAAGTCCACCAGCATTTTAATGGTAGCCCTCTTAGGTTGTTCTTGGCACTGTTGCAACACAACTCTGGACAAAAGAGTCCAGAGTCTGCAAAAAGAATTGGCGGTGAAAAACCTAAGTATTCTGAGTCTCACCTTTTGGGGAGAATGTGGAGAATTGCTGTAGAGCAGTGGAACTGCTAAGTTTTGCACACAAGAATACCAGTTGAAGACCTGCATGTTCCTGACACAGGAAGAAGTCTACATAGCAGGTGATGTGTGACTTCTGCAATACGAAGCAATGACATCTGAATAAGGGGTTTGAATTCTTAGGAAATGTGTTGGGGAAGGTATAGGTTGAATTTGAGGTAACTTAAATTGCTCTAAGTGGCAAAATTGCCTTCTAGTTCTTACCTAAAAGCAGGTCCTGTACCTTCTGAACTATATCAGAAGGAAATGGGGAGAAATTTTCACTTCTGAGTGCTTGACTACATTACTGGACATAAACTACAATTTTTTAGCTATTGATCTGGCTTTCAGAAATGTTTGGGATTTTTTTTTAAGTGATGTTTTAACATGGTTCAGTACATGCTTGGTGGTGCAGAGAGAGGTGGGGAAGGACTGTGTTTTGGCATCCAACGGCTGAGTGGTAGTGTCCCATTTTTACTTCAGTATCTTTGTTTAGAATCACTTTACACAAGGTCAGAGGGGAGCATGGAGTTGGGCATGTAAAGTTCTGAGCAAATTACATGAATTACTCCTAACAACCTGTTCAATACAGTCAGTCTTTAACACAGTAAAAGACAACTAGTTATGGAGTCAGTCTATTTGGTGGAGAGCTAAGTTGGGAAGAAGTTGTGTAATAGGAGCTCTTAATAACTTGCATTTTCCTACCTGAGAGTAAATGGAGGACAAGTACCACATACTGAGGGTCTTTGTATCTTTACTTCCTTTTCCCATTTACTGTGGTTTTGATTGCTTCCCATTTGACACCTCTTCTTTAGCTGTGGAGAGAGAAAAGGTTAAAACAAGTTCTGTGTTGCTTTTGCATTGAAAAACTCAAGACTTTAACACAAGTTATGGCATGACTTAGTAGGGCAGGACAGATAGCTGTGTGCTGTTAACTTTTGGTTCAGAGAATGCAAAGAGAAGGAAAATATGTGCCCTGATGCAATTAGTGGGTAATTTCCTGCTACTTGCTGACAAGGCTTGAATGTTGGCACAAAAAGCAGGCTGTATCTTTGAAGAAGTTGCCTTGCCTTAAAGCCTTTTCCTACCTCCTTTTCAAACTTCTGTCTCTGGAGGATAATTTAATTCCTTCTTTATTCCTTGACTATTTATTGTTTGTCTTGAATGATTCAGCAGAAGAGAATTCATCTGCTTCCCTTAGGATTAGATGAGGGGATTTGTAGGTATAGAAGAACTGCAAATCCTGTCTCCTTTTGTGGAGAATAATTGTAAAAGATCTTACACTAGGAGTGCCAGAACTTTTGAATTTTAAATTTTCACTGCTAAAATGGATATTTCTTAGGTTGGAAATGCCACCCGCTCCAGTCCTCCCAAAATAATTCGTCTTGAGTCAGACATTACTAAGCTTCCTGCTACAACAGTCACAGATGGCAGCCTGTGCAAATAGATCTTTGCTGGTGTGGATTGGAAGAAGCAGTCTGGGGAGTATTTGGAGGCTTACCAGATGTTAACTATCTTTAGTTAGAGGTTGGTGAGTCTGCTGGGACTGTGTAACCTCTGCAAGAAGAGGTGATCCTCAGCAGGCTTCAGTAGACAGCATTTCTTATTTCGTGGTGAAATGTAACTCAGATTTGATCTCTTCATCATAATAAAAATATTATTAGAGTTTCTTTTGAAGTACTGGGAGGGGGTAGGTGGGGGAGGAGAAATCTAGTAAACTGAATGTAAAGCTTGCAAATGTTCCCAGGCATTGCCAGCTGGCTATAGATTTTTCTTGGCTCTTGTTGCAAGCCCTTTTGAACTATATGAAATGCAAAGGCCCATGATGGCCCCATAAGCAAATTCTTTGAGTGAAAGGATAACACTGTCAAAACCCTTTATGGTTTTTACATCAACTAAGCTACAAGTAAAGGTGGATATTTGTGGCATAAAAATACGAGGCTATGTGCTTTGCAAAAGACTTTAGTCCTAGTTTACCTTCATTCACAGACTCCCTCGTGTGTTTGTGTCAGCGATCCAGTCAGACAATTCCCTCTGTCCCTTGACAAGCATATCAAGTGCATGCCTGCAATCTGGAAAGTCAGTTGATGCCATCTGGTCAAGTGCTAATGAGGCTGCTGGAATGCTAGCGTCAAATGTTACCTTAACCTAAGCAGACTCCATGTGAGATGATGCTAGACTTTTTCCTATATCTTTCGTATACTGGCACAGTTGAACTCTGACCATGTGATTCCTCACTGAGTTTTATCAGCTGCTCTGGGTGAAAATGGGGGCATTCTGTACTAAGACCCTGTGCGGCCGTAGTATGTGAGTGATATCAATGTGAAGAGACAGCCATATATTGAACAGTATGAAAAGACCAGTTCTTTCCTTTAGTAGCCCCAAATGAGAAGCAAGGAAAGGTTTTACATCTATGAGGTGCTCTTGAGCCTTCCGCCTAATATTAGAGCTTTAGTTGTTTATTTCGTGTGCAGCCTTTCACAAATGTCTTCAAATATTTTTTGTCTATATGGAAGCCTGTGCCCTGGTGATTTTAATTTGAAAAGGTCTGTAGGTGTGTCACAATTCTAGTGTGGCAGAACTTGCTTGAAGTTTTGGGTGGTAAGTGCTTAACCTATCTTGTATTAATATGGTAATATATGATAACATCATGTTTGAGTAGCCCTTCTTGAGTGCAGGTGGGAACAACTGGTGAGTTTTAGTGTAGCGATACTCCCAGCAGTGTGTGAAGGAAGTCCTGTCACTCCTGCGTTGTGGACTGAAATAATCTATTTCAGTTTTTTCTGAATTTTTTAAGTGGGAGGCCTGAGTTTGATTCTTGGTTACATTTGGAAGTCAGAGCAATACCCAAAGCTAGGCCTTTTCTACTTTGTGGGATGTGCTATCTCGGCCACTAGAAGTGTATTAGAATGACAGAGATAAAGGTACTGATTACAGAAAGTCATGAAGCCTCACAGAAAGAAGATTGTGGTGCCAGGCTGTAGGAGTGTGAGTTTTCCTCTCCTCCCTAGGGCTCTGACTGCAACATTGATCAGTGCCATTGCTTGACTGCTTTTTAATCAAGTGACTTTGCTCTGCCCTTTGCTCCCTGCCTTAAGAGTGCTCCTGTGAAAAACCTGCCTTCTGCTGAGAGCAGAGAGAAAAGTGACATGAAATCTCTTTGTACTAGTGCTCTGTTCCCTGCAGAGAGCAACAGGTAAAGGATCTTATTTATGTCTTACCATCAAGAGGATAAAGTTTGTTGGATTTGTTACAGTCTGTGAGTTCAGGTATCTCCTCCTCTACCTTCCAGTTACTGTTACTCTTTCTTGTTTTCAGGAAAATCATTCTTATCTTAACAATACACACTTGCTGCTAGCTGTTGCTAACTGATGAATAGCTAACGTTTTTCATTATTGAATATCGAGTTAACATGTCTGGCTCAGTTGTGTTCTGCCCCTGGAGCAGCAAAGATAGAATTAAATCCAAGCACTGAAGAGAATTTCAGTTTCAGAGATGGGGACTAACAGAAAAAGCACTACTGCTGCAGTGAATGCTGCTTATAAATTTTGTGCCAAAAAAACGTTAGTGCAACATCACTAATGAAGTTGAAGGCCAGATTTTACACAGCTGCAAATAAAATTAATGCTGTGTTTTGCTGTGTCTGCACTGATCTTTCCCACTATACATCTCACGTATTGCACAGGAGAGGTGGTAAGGATAGCTGCTGGTGTCTGCCTGCCCACAGAGGTGCAGTGGTGTTGGGGCTGTGCTAAGGAAAGTGATTTGGATGGATATCTTCAGGAGGATAGATCTACAGACATATCTTAATGTTTAATAATTAAAGTTTCCTATTTGCATGGCTAAGCAGTTACTGTTATGTGAAGCCAGAGGGAATGGGACACATCATTAATTATCTCGAGAGCGGAGGAGGGGTTCCACTTCGTGTGCCTGTGTGCAGGTCTGTACCATGGAGGAGTCCTGCCTCTTCTGGGAGTATTTTGGGAGTGCCCTGGGAGGCTTATTAAGGGCTGGTTAGCGAGACAGCCCTTACTTTCAAGAGCCAGAACAGCATTTGTGATGGCCTGCAATATCTGAGCTCAAGCAATTGAGCTCAGATATTGATTTCTTAAGGAGTTTGGGCATTGGAAATTTTCATCCCTTGGGAATATCTGACTGGGAACGTTGCTGATACTATTGGATGCTTTGCTAAACCCAAGGGAGAATCAGGTGTGGCTGGAACACTTACTGGTGAAGACTGAGGCAAAAAAGTTGTTGAGTGCCTTGGCCTTCTCCGTGTCCCAGGTAAGCAGGTATCCTGTTTCCTTGCTAAGGAGGACCCACATTTTCCTTTTATCACTGATGTACCTAAAGAAGGTTTTCTTGTTGCCTTTGACATCTCTGGCCAGATTTTAATTTTTAATTCTCTCAGGGCTTTAGCTTTCCTAACATGACCCCTGGTTACTCAGACAATCTCTCTGTATTCTTCCCAGGCTACCTGTCCTCACTTCCACTCTGTGTAGGCTTCCTTTTTGTGTTTCATTTTGTCCAGGAGTTTGTTGCTCATCTGTGCAGGCTAGTATACCATAGCCTCTGGAGGCTGTCCCTCTTCATCCAGCAAGGGCGACTGAAAGTCTTTTGAATCAGCTCTTAGGTGCTACAGTGTCTCAGGCAGGCATGTTAACATAATAAAGAACTTTAGCTTAATTGCCAACAGCTACTGCAACCTGCTGATGGCCTGAGCTGCTCCCATTTGGTCCATGCATCAGAACACCAGTTTGCACAGAGTAGCCTGATTTAGATGATGTAAGCAATATGGCTACACAGCTTCCACTTGGCTTTCAAGGTGGGCAAAAGTTATTTATGCCCTTCTGTATAGGGACTATGCCTTTTTCTCTCTTACGTGAAAGAAAACTATGTACTCACTTATTTTTCCCTTTCCTAGAGAAAGCACTTCTGCTGCATTTATAGTGTTTGCCCTTTCCTTTTGAATTCTGTTAATTTATGTTTGTTTTCACTTCTCCATCCCCAGTGTTGATTCCTACCTTTTCTACTAACTTTTCCTGAACGGCTCTATTTCTCCCTTGAATTCTTTTTCTGGCCTCAAAGTTATTTGCATATGTTTACAGGGAGAGTAGATATGTATGTAAATGGAATTGTCTTTGCCATGGTAATATGATCTTCAAAGGCTTGGACTGCAGTCACTTTGCTGCATTCTTTACATAAAATGTTTGTCTTGGCAAGTCGCTGCCAACAGAGTGCTGCAAGGGCCCAATCCTGCTAATTGCCTTCTGCTCCCACTGAACTCATGGGGCTTATATGTAAAAAAAAAATCCCCAAAGCATTCAAATTAGAGTTGTGTGTTCTTTACACAGTTATGTTCATGTTCTACCATTTTGTCCTTTCTTTACTGATGTGATCTGGAAGTGATCATTGGTTCTTAACTTTTCATGACCATTTGGTGTGTGTTAAAATACAGGAGTCTGTAGCAATGGAGGGGGGTAGCTAGGTTCCAGTCCAACATTGGTGGTTTAGGAGAGGTCTGCCTTTATGAAGGTAGTCCACAGGGAGTCCTGAGTATGAGACATCACTACCTCTTTTTGTACCTGTTTTTTGTCTTTACCAGCAAAGCTGGTCAGTGTATGCTTTGCTGTGGGCTGCAAAATCATGAGCTGTGGTGGGTAAGGAAGTTGCACACCCCAGGGCTGGGGAGAGAGGATACGTAATCTCGTGAGCAAAGCAGGAAAAGAGTGCATCAGTGCCACGTGTCATCAGCTTGTATTGCAAGCCCCACCACAAAATTCTCAGTGGAGTGGACCTATGCCTTCCACCAGAGTGGATCTGAGAGGTGATAAGGTGAACACACACGTGATTCTACTGCAGCGTCCTCAAGTCTCTCAGTCTAAAACCTTTTCTGTGTTCTAATACTTTCCTGATCTTAGGACTGTGGAAGATGGAAAAGAACCTCCTGCTACTGCCCTTAGATCCCATCCTGTTCTTCCAGTAAGAGGTCATATATTGGGAGTTACCCAGGCTCCCAGCCCTCTGGGTGCTTGCTTACAGCATGACCCCTCAAACCTTAGCTGGAAAAACTGCGAAGGAGGAAGAGTGGCATAGGGTGCAGGCAGATAATTCACAAACCTTTTTTGTAGCTATCAGAGCTACTGTCTTACAAATATAGCAGCTATCCATTAGGGAGTATTAATTGGTATAGTCATAAGTGCTACTCTCTATTTGCTCTGGAAACTGAGAGAGAAGCCATTTATATCTGTTGAAGTATAAACTTCTGTAACAGTGGGGGGTGTTCTCAAAATCCCACTTACCACAGGCAGCTGGCCCCAGTTTTTTTCCTGCTTGAACATATGTGGAGAACTGTGGTTTACCCAGGGCTCAAACTAGTCTAACTGTTTAAGGTAAAAATCAGAATTGTTTATTTAGAAGCTATTTTTGATATCACCAAAGTGATATTAAAAGGTGTTTCGAAAAGAAATAATTTGTGAAGATGCTTGCCATGTGGATAATTTAGCACTTAGGTTGTTGTGGAGTGTTGAGATGTGGCTCTGAAATAGTTGCATGTTTTACTCAAGTCAAGAATGCTGCAGGCAATTGCAAGAACAGGGAGAATTTCAGTAAGGGGAGAGTGTGTTAATTATCCATGCAAGATGTTCACACTTGCTGCTGTGTTTCATATGTTTTCATATCTGCTGAAGCAAAGCAAGAAAAGTGTTGTGCTGGGGCAGTGTGCAGGCATGGCTTAGATCTGAATAGATGTAAATGGTTAAAAAGGGGTTCTCTGCTAGAGAGGAGGAGGGGAAAGTAAGAGTGCATTCCCAAAAAAGTACATTCCCAAAATAAAAAGCTTACATCATGGACCTCTTCAGTTTTCCCACACTTCTTTCCTAATTATTGTCCTGCAGGACAGCTGATCTATTTCAAACAGGAAGCTGTTTACAGATAACACTTGCAACTGTTTTGTCTGATTTGTTGAACTGTCGAAAAGCAAAAGACAACCTCTTTTCAAATTAAAAACTGTCAGACTTCTGTAAACAGCAGCAATGAGGTTCATCTGTGCAGTGTCCCTGCAGGCACAGAGCGTTCTGCAGTTCCCATTTTCTCAGCAGCCATAAGGTAAGAGACTTTTTTATGCTTTAATTCTGTAGAAGCAAGTAGAGGAAAAAGTCCGTGTTTGTTAGGGGGCTGCCTTGTGTAAGACAAAATATGATTGACAATCCCCAAATAGTAAGGAAAAAAAGAGCTTGGTATCTATCGGGTAACACTGGACCTTTCTACTGTGAAGCACCCATGTGGGTTAGATCACTGAATTCCTGTTTCGTTTAAGGGGGGTTGTATTTAAAATGTACAAATGCCATTGGAAGAGCTCACTTTCCTTTTAGCAGGGAAGGACAAAACAGTATATGAATTTTAACTTTTTCTACAATTGAAACTTATTTTACTTCATTAATGGGTTGTAATTCCTGGTAACAGATATAGGCAGTTCTCTGTTTTCTGCTTTAAAAAGTGATCTTTTAATACAGCTGCAAGGCTGGCATTGCAGAAGTGAGACATGACAGAAGGTCCAGTAAGAGCTGGAATTACACCACTGGATAATTAAGAGCAATCTCAATGAAAACCAAATCATGCTGGAAGTAGTACTATGCAGAAATGCTTAATGAGATATAAGGATGTGTAAAGATAAAAAATCTTGTTCTAAATGAGGAGAGATATGAGAATAAACCATACTTTGGTAAGCAGAAGGGCGCGTATGTCTGCTTTTCAGTTATGAGCTATGAAAAATTGAGATTCATAAGGGATTTGCGAGTTTCCATTCTGACCTCTGTGCATACATACATATGTGCTCAGTATAGGCAGTGAAATTCTGAAGGGGGATTGTTTTCGAGCAAAATCAAATAGATGTGGAGAATCTTACCCAACTTTACTTGCCATATAGTGAAACAGAGCAACTGGATTGGAAATACTACAACTTTGACCCTTGGGTATTGAAAGATTTTTAAAATATGGCAAATGTAAAAACTGTTACTGTATGTTTTCCTCTCTGTAGCTGAGATCTTTTATATTTCATATCTATATGATCGTTTACATGATCACGAACATTTAAGGCATTACAGTGATCAGAAAATACAATACAAACACTGATTTAAAAGTCTCACTTATAACAATGATACCATCCCTAAAATTTTAGTATGTTACTTATGCAGCACCAGTAAGGTATGCTGATGTTGTAGACAAGAAGTTAGACTTCCAAGTTGAGTATTCCTTTTAAAAATGTTTGGACTGTCTTTCATAAAATTCTTAGATGTATCTGTTACAATGAAATGATTGTTTGAATTAATATATGAAAGAAAATATTTAACTTAAATTCATCGTCAAAATGGCATTTTAAACATGGCATAGTCCCAGAGTCAGCAGAGAATTGCAGTGTGGAAGCAGCAGAAATCTACTGTGTAATTTGTAACTGTACATTATGTTCAAAACTGTTTTTTCTGATTACTTTTGAGTGATTTTACACTGTTTCTAAAGCTCTTATTTAGTCATCTTTAGGGCTGTTCAAAAACTCTTGAGCCAGAATCCTTTTGAAGTAGGAAGACTTCTGGCAAAATACCTTTTTAAAGTAAAGTGTCAGTTCTCTGGGATAGTTTAGTTCTTCTGTCAAATTATTTTGGCTGAAAACCAGGAGAATTTAGCCAAAAATATTCTCATGGTTTCTCTGGGGAAGTGTAGTTTGTGCTTTGCACTGCATTTCACTACTGGCTGAACTTCACAGCTGAACCACACTTCCCATACAGCTGCATGGTCAGGATCTGGCTATTTTAATTTCCCTTGATGAAAGGAGTGTTAAGATGTATTTTGGAAAAGGTAGTGTAGTGAAAGAGGCACAGACTGGGCTCATAAGGCATCAGCTGGTCAATAACTAGTTGGCAACTTCTTAAATTTCGACTCCTTCCTTCTGTTTTGCACATGAGCCATCCTGTTTTTCAGCCGTGAGAGTAGGACCCTTCAAAACAGTGTGATATGTCAGTAGAAGGTTTAAAGCCTTTTGATGTTTTTATCCATGCAAACAACTGTACAAGGGAGAGAATATTTAATAATGTTTCTAAGGCTTTGTTAGTGCTTCTGCCAACTTTTGTGCTAAACGTGCTCCATTTTATATATTCAGAACTGAAAAATGCAAGGGAGCATGGCTGAATTTTAAGATCTTTTAAGAACTCTGAGTTCAAGAGGCAAACAACCTAGTAGGAGCCTGAAGCTTTTGAAAGAGTCGGGTTTTGAAAATCCAGCAAGGTCTCATCTCGCCCATTTAAGTGTCTCTTCAGAAAAATGTAGTCCTGGGTGATTTGCCTCTGGTTGTATGAGATGTCTGTAGACAAGAAAAGAATGGAAGTTGGTCTGCTCAAGTTCTTCATTAGTGCACCAGTCTCTTACTTGTTCATTAGGATCCAAGGTTCCTTAGCTGCTGGGACTGTTTGGATGCTACTGCCTCAAAACTGTATCAGAAGATTAGTTAGAAGTTCCATAGGGTGTCCTGGAGGCCAGGACAGAGCAGTAAGACAGATGATGGGGAGTTTTAGGGTTTACATTGGTTTCCTTCTGCAACGAATCATAGAACGGTTTGGGTTGGTTAAAAAATCATCTAGTCCAATAGTACAGCACATGAATGAAGCATAGACATGAACAAACAGTGTCACAGTGCTGCAAGGTCGATACCAGGCTCCAGACCAAGAATCAGCAATGTTTAGCTGCTATATGGAGTGAATGGAGGAGACCTAAGTGCTGAAGAAGGTGACTCACCACAGACAGCCAAGTGTGTGAGGGCCACAGCAGCTGTCTGAAAATTGTTTGTGAGAGAGGTGCTTCATGATTCCCTCTGCTGGATGTAGGAGTGGATAAATTCACTATCTCTAGTGCCAAGTGTCTGGAGAAACTCAAGTTCCAGGAGGTGGAAGCTTGCCTTGAATGTGTGTGCCCAGTTTTCCTTCAAGCATGGAGGCTTTGAAAAATGGCTCTGAGAAAAGAGTTTTCTACAGTTCTCTTTGAAAAATGAACTGCTGCTATCCAGCTGTCATGTAATAACATACTGTCCGGGACCACTTACCTGGGAAGCAGGAGATCTAGATGCAGCTCATTGCACTGCTTCAAACCCCCACCTCCCATCTGCTGAAAAGGTGCCCTTGTCACTAACCAACATAATAATTTGGAAATGGAACCACTGTGGATTGTGTCCACAGCTCCCAAGGCAGTTTCCAATTGTTGATACTGCTTTGAATTTATACAAGAAAAAAGAGAAGGTCTAAACAGTCCAGGGAAGTCTATTCCTTTGGCATGAGAAGCTAGCCTGCATAAGAAGCTAGCTTGCAAGAGAGAGGCATCTCCCCACCATGTTTTAGAAGGGAATGGCAGTGTTTTCTATCCTTCCTGTTTATCATGTGCTTAGAGGAGACAATGAATTTGGGTATGTTTCCTTGATGGGCATAAATGGACTAGGTGGGAGAATAGTGTCTTGTTCTCTTCAGGCAAGATGTTGACTATCCCTGGTCTGTGCACTGAGAAAAGCTTAGGTGCTCAGGTTTTCCAATAAAACCGCAGGAACCTACTGCCTCTTAAGGTGACTGAATAGTTAGGAGATGTTTTTGGATGCTTTGAGCGTGGGATGAGGCCACAGATACAGATTCAGGGGTAGTGTTGACTAAAGCAGCTCTCATCTGGAGGTTTAGGGGTGAAGAATGTGGGCAAAGGATGGAGAGTGGAAAGAGAAACTGTCTCAGCTTTGGCTGGGTTTTGAGTAGGGATCTTGAAGAGTAAAGCTGTGTCCATAGGTGTGCTTCGGTTCCTGGTGCCTGTCTTTGTCTAGTCTTAAGCGTGGCTGACTCTGTGATTATTTTCTTTTTTTCTTGCTTACTAACTGCAGAATAAGTATAAATAATAACAAGAAAACATTTCTACAGACAACACTCTAAGATTTTCAGTTTAATTTGAGTGATTATCAGGCTTAGTTGTGGATCACCCCAAAATCTCCTGTTATGGTGCTGATGATTTTAGCAGATACTGAAACTTGCTGAAAATAGGCATGCATTTATGCATCTTTAGTGGATTCTTTAGAAATGATCCATGGGCCTTCAAGAGACCATGGATCAGATGTTGATTTGATCTCCATGTGGTCTGAATGCCAGGGTCAATCTGCTCATTTGGAAGGACAAAACAATACAAGTGATTTTATAATTTTTATTCTACTTGTAAGTAGAATTTTTGATTATCATCAGAGAAAGATTTGTAAGAGATCATCTAATTTTTGGGAATTAAAACAAAGAGCTTTAAAAAATTGATATGTGAAAGAACTGGAAATGTTAGATGGCACAGTAATTGTGACCAGTCAAGAATGTAATGAAGGCCTAGCCCAGGGAACAGCAAAAAATGTCTTATTACATAGGAAAAGAAAAATGTGTCTCAATGAGCTTCCTTGTCAGAATGGTGTTAATGAGAAAACAGGTCTCTGATGGCTTACTGGGGTGGAGTTACGTTCAGGAAATGTTAAGGAAGCAGATACTGAGAACATGTGGCAGAGCAAGAGAAGGGCTCATCATGCATGCTGGGGAGACTCCAGGGCAATGGATCTGTAGGCAGCACCCGCAGGTGCATTTACAGTGCAGTGAACTTGAAGTTTAAAGCTAATGTAGAGATAAAGTGAGGTGATGTAACAAGAGCTGTGTTATGAGCTGCAGCTGAAAAACCTCTTTATTGGAGATTTTTTTCTTTTCCTCTTCAATATCATCACAAATTGGGTTTGTTCAACCTGGAGAAGGAAGGCTTTGGGGTGATCTAATTGCAACCTCCCAGTACCTGAAGGCAGCCATCAAGAAGGATGTGGAGAGACTTTTTACAAGGGCGTGTAGTGACAAGACAAGGGGGAAAGGGCTTCAAACTGAAAGAAAGTAGGTTTAGATTAGATATTAGGAAGAAATTCTTTACTGTGAGAGTGGTGAGGCTCTGGAATAGGTTGCCCAGAGAAGTTATGGATACCCCATTCCTGTAACTGTTCAAGGCTGAGTTAGGCAGAGCTCTGAGCAACCTGGTCTAGTGAAAGGTGTCCCTGTCCACGGCAGGGGGATTGGAGC